TATATATATATATATACACACATATTACGCAACACGCGAACGGTAGGACTAGATAGATACTTCGAACGTACGTTTGTATAAGCGAGAGATCGTCACACGTCTTGATTTTTACTTTTATTACCGCCACAATTGCTACGTTTACAATGTTCGTTGATACCGTGTAAGGAGGTGTACCGCTACTGTTACTATCATTACTTACTGTCTTTACTACTTCGAGAGACGCTGTAATTAAGAGATAGATGAAAGATTATGCTGCTATAATTCTAAAACGTTGTGAAACATGAGGAGGGGGGAGGGGGAGCAAGATGAAACATATATATGTTATACATATATCAATAACGTTCTCTCGACGTGCCAGCGGCACGACGGAAGGAAGTCGCGCGTGAGACATTCGCACGCGCGCGACTCGCGACGGTCTCGAGGTGGGTTTTGCAGCGCGCGCAGCCGCGAGAGAGGAACAGAGAAGGACCGTCTTTTCCGTCGACTATGTAGGACTTGTTGGTTTCTTGATATATCTCCGTGATACCGCGCGGATACGCGTTGCGCGAAGAATGGGGATCCAAAATTGACCAGCGGTATAATATTTCATTGTTTACTTTGTACATAGAGAGCGAGAGAGAGAGCGAGAGAGAGAGAGAGAGAGAGATTACGTATGTGTATATATCGGGGGGGGACGAGTAACACGCGTTTCGCTCATACATATATGCATACGTACGGAGACACTTATGTACGCGTATACATAAATGATAATAATAGTAATGATAACAACGCTAAGAGTATTATTATTCCAATTATTATTACTATTATTATCGCCTAACGACTACACATCTTTATTATACATTTTAATTCTTCTTATTATTATTATATTATTATATTCCTGCATGTATATTTGTAACGGACTGAACGAGACGCGCTGTATTTTTTGTACATGCATGAGAGAAAGAACGCCGACCGACACGCAATTAATTAACGCCGGAGTCGCATATTAAGATTTATAATTCTCGCGTGAATCCACTTTCGTTTAAAATAACACCGAATATCGTAGTGTGTTGTTATATACTCCTTTCCTCTCCCGAGTTACACAGTCACGGAAAGCCAGTGTTTGTTATATATAAGATTAAAATAATAGATTAGATTATTATTGCGGTTATGTAGCGGTGGGAAGTGTATCTGCGATTTATAACGATGTCAGCCAATCATCAGCGAGTAATAATATTGTAAGGACAGTGAACTGGACGACTCGTTGGCAGGTAGGATCGCCACGGGCACACATACCACAAGCGAATCTCTCTTTCCGATTTTTGAGCCGACCATTTAACCGAACAACAGGATCAATGCATATCTCTACCGCATCGTTACCGTGAGCGCGTCGTCTCTACGATCTCTCATTGCCGCGTATCATCACGCTCGCTACTTTTGCTTTTGCATTCGGTATCAATTCAGTCCGGTCTGTGTCGTCGTGCAGGCGAGCAGGTTTTTACGATTTCACGACAATTCAAAATCAGTCGATCTCGCGAGAGAGGAGACGCGAACGTTGGCAGTCGCATTTCGCCGTAGAACCTCGATTCCGCGATCACGGAGAATCGTCCAGTACACGTAAACAAAAAAAAAATAACGCAATATCCACCAAGTGTTCATTGAGTTTGGTAAACGAGGCGGATAAAAGGGAGCAGCGGAGGACAGAGAGCGTGCGAGAGAAAGAGAGGGGGGAGAGAGAAAGAGACTCGCGCGACGAAGATCGTCGCTTCTTGAATTTCACGCGAAGGCGGCGGGTGCAAGGATGCGGACGCGAGAGGCAGGAAGAGAAGCCGCGGAAACGCGAAGGGCCGGGCATCGTACAGGAATATAATAATATCGAGACGAACCGGGCCGGTTTAAGACGTCTTCGGGTTCTCCGCGGGACGCGACTCAAGAGGGGAGGGAGAGAGAGAGAGGCCGGTCGTAAATTTCGAAAATCACGAGAAGCCACAGCGCGGGAAAATCGATAGCGAAACACGTTTCGCGTATCGGGCTTGGAACTCGGCGTAATTCTTTTTATTACCATCCACTTTCGCAATTACGACCGTCTGTCGCGTCGGCCGGACTATAGTAGTATCATCCGAAATATGCGGGGCGCTGCGATAAGCGCGGCGCGATTAGCCTTAAACCGGCTCCGACGGCGAACAACACACTACGTCGTCGAAGGCGTATCGAGACGACGAGCGAAACACGACGGAGCGAATGTTTAAACAAAGATTTGGCTGTGTCACCGTAAACTGTTTTTATTTGATTTTTAATCCTTTCTTTCGTTACACGTCCGAATCGGGAGCTCTCAGGCAGAATGACGAGAGTGTGGAGAACAAACTGAAGGGGAGAGAGAGAGAGAGAGAGAGAGAGAGAGAGAGAATGACGCGGAATTCAAGACAGAGTGAGATGAGTCGCGAGTGAATCCAGAGAGAGAGAGAGAGAATGAGCGAATGAAGGAAAGAAAGATGCAGAGTGAAAGAGTGAGAGAGAGAATGAGAGTGTGCAAGTAAGTCTTCAATGCGTATATCTTTATCGCGCATTTAATGTTAAACGCCGGTTAACAAGCTCCATGTTTTCATGTGAGCTTACGATCGAACATAATCGTATTTCGCGTTAAATTCGCGAGGAGAATGCGAGTTCGAGTGAGTCGTGGTGAAGAAGAGGAAAGAGAGAGAGAGAAGTTGTTTCGAAGCCGTACATCGTTCACCGATCTTGAACTGTTGTGAGGGATAGAAGACACTCTAGCTCTAAACAGCTCAAAACTTTCAATCGGAAACTTCATCTTGTTTGTAATCCGCGAAAAATGCGGACACCGTGACCGTTCGCCGCGTGGAAAAAATCACGCGATTGACGCCGCTTTCGTGCGCGTCGGCGGTCAATCAAACGACCAATCTGCGAGGGGAAGACGAGAAGAAGGGAGAGGATACAGCCCTTCCTCTGGTTGAAAAGACGCGAGTGCATCCGCGAAAAATCGAAGATTGCGATGAGGAAGGCGCGGCAGTTAGTTCGCTATTATCACCCTTCGCCGCGCGCCGGCAACAATTCCCCGGGCGCTTATATCTCTCTATATCGTCACACGCAGGAACAACCAAACAAACAAACGCACTTTTTGATCGTGTAGATGTCTTTTCAAAATTTTGATATCCATATTATACAATTACTATACAATTGTACACCACCGACTGTTGATAAGGAGAAACCGCGCGACGCGAAATTTGTATGGGTTTACAAGTTTTAGCAGCGAGCACGGGATTGGTCGACTATACTCGCACACGAGGACCGTAGATTACTCATTACGAATAATCACACTCACTTTTTTCTGCTGGAGAACCGCCACGACAGACAGACGGACAGGCAGGATGAGACGCGTTCGTCTCGTTAGACGAACCGGGACACGAGTAAGTTGATGAGAAACCGGCGAAAAATTAACACGTGCACGGTTGGTACATCATCAATTGTCTTTTCATGCGGACCAGAATAGATAACCGAGGAAGAAAGGGGAGAAGAGCGGAGGAGGAGGAGGAGGAGAGAGAGAGAGAGAGAGGGAGAGAAAGAAAGGCAACTTAACGATCAACTTCTGCTGTTCGGAAAGGTGTACATCAATAGCAACAATTGGATGGGGAGATCGGGAAAAGAAAAATGTTCTGCGATATTTTACGTTTTTTTCGCGAGGAATGCGTCCGCCTCGCAACTTACTTATCGGTTTTCTTATCGATCGATGTATCGATGTGATTGAAACTTCGTTGAAATTGAGCCTTTTTACGCCGGAATGATAATTAGACTTTTCGCGAAATAAGATATATTGTTGATTATTTCTGAATATTTAAATTTGTTAGATCTCAGACCGGCATGTCATATTTTTGTTGGACGACGCATTAGATGATTTATCGATTAAATTTTAGTATAATATAATAAAAGTCTAATATAAAATATATATATAAGGGATATATATATATGTAGAGAAAGAGAGAGAAAAAGAGATAGCTGCTACTGTTATACACTTTTTAGAACATCCGTATAGTCCCGTTTGTATAATAAAATGCTACGAAAGTAAGAAGTGCGCGAAGCATTGTCGATTGTTCGCCGGATCGGCGTTCGATATTAACAATAGCTGTATAACGCGTATGAAATCGACCGCGATTTATAGTGAATCCGCTGTTCTTTTCCGCGAAACTTTCTCATTTCGTAATCACGCATAACAATTCTCATCCTAACACGACATCCCCATCCGGGGATGTTCTTCGATTCATCTGTCATCATTGCACATGATTCGCACAACCGAGACTTTGGAATACGCAAAAAAAATATGTACATGCTTCTGCAATTAAAACTTTATAAGAGACTGACAGTGTTTTTTATATGAATATTGTAAACTGCAGGATAAAGATTCCCAAAGTAAAAATTGCGTTCTACGTATTTATATCGTGTAAAGTCGTGTGATATGCTATAAAAATTGTAGATTACAAGATTATTTCATTTTTTCAACATACTCATGCACACAGAAAGAGGGGGAAAGAGAGAGAAAGGGAGGTGAGGAGAGAGAGAGAGAGAGAGAGATACAAGTAATATTTATACAGCCAAACTTTTTTCTAAGAGGAACGCAAACGTAGCT